GTCCTTTTATAAACAATGACCAGAACTAAGTGTACAACTGACTAAATATGAAATAAATAATACAGAAATAATATTAAAAGTAAAACTAATAGAGTTTTACTCACTGATGAGTTTCTGAGTAGCTGCCATCTTGAATTCTGAACTCTCCTACATTCTGACAGGGAATTTCAACATGCATTCTGGGAGATGTAGTTTATGGTTGATTTGGCTTTAAAGCAGTTTATTTTGGGACATTAATCCTGTGCTATCCAACTAAATTGCTCAGTTGCTTAAAGCCAGCAGCTCAGGGGCAGGACAAGTATTATCTTTCGCCTTTTAAATTTGTTTATTTAGTTGCATTTAATTATAAATTTAAAGTTTACCATTGATATTAGAAAAAATTTTCATATTAAGTAAAAAAAAAAAAGGCCTTGAGTTTGACACGTGTTCTAAATAGTCAACAAATACTTTTAGCTAGCATTTTGTGAATTTAGCATTTAGCTAAACTTTTGTTCATTTTGGCTCTTATCTAGCCTTTTGCTACTTTCAGTGTTTAGCTACTTTTCTGCTTTTAGTTTTTAGCTGGCCCTTTGTTAAATCTGTCTTTTACTTTGTTTACATTCTAAACATCCTTTAAACATTGTTAGTTTACATTTTCTTACTTAATCATTTAGCTATTCTTTTATTATTATTATTTAATAATTTTTGTTACTTTTGGCTCTTATTACTTATTTTGGTTTTGTTACTTTTTGCTACTTGTATGTTTTACTCAGAGTTGTAAAGTTACTAAATACAAATACTTCTTTACTGTACTTCAGTAGAAGTTTAGGGTATCTGTACTTTACTTGAGTAATTATTTTTCAGCCTACTTTTTACTTTTACTTACATTTTTAAAAAAGACAAGAAGTAGAAAGTCGTTACTTTTATTTCATATTTTGCTTGCCTTTTTCTACATTTAACTAGCTTTTGCTTATTTGAGCTTGTAGCTAGTGTTTTGCTTCTTTTTTCTAGTTTTTTATCTGTCTGTTTAGGACAAAGGTCTGAAGGCTCCACCCACTCATGGAGGGCTGACTGCCAACGGTGTCCTGCTCCAGCTCGTCCTCCTCGATGCAGTCGTAGGGCCACTGGGCGAAGGAGGCCACGCTGCCCATCGGGTGGGGGTGGGGGTGGGAGGGCGAGGAGTACAGGTGGAGGTTGAGGGAGCCCAGCAGGGAGGAGGACGACTGGCTGCTGGAGGAGGAGGTGCTGCTGTTGGAGATGGTGGAGTGGGGCCTCTTGAAGGCGGCGCAGTGCTCGAACGACGGCACCGTGACCGACGCCCTCGTCCGAGACTCTGCGGCGGGAGAAAAACAAAATCCTTTAAAGGGGTCTGACACTTTTGTGTGTTTTAATGATTTAAACGAGAAGCAGAGCGAGAAACTCACCTGTCCCCTTCATGATGTAATCTATGGCTCTGTCGCTGATAGCTGCATCGCTCGGCTTGATGTCCATGAAGGGTTTGCTTCCGATCCCCATCGACACCATCTCCTGCATACGCAGCTCTAAAGAAAAAAAAAGAGAAAATGTAAACAAATAACTGAATAACTGGGTGTCCCAATAAATGAATTCTTCAAGGGGAGAAGTTGAAGTCTGGGGAAAACATGTAAAAGAATTACAAATCCTATTTTTATTTTGCAGAAAAGAGCTGTAAGAATTACCACTAGAAAACATTACAGTCACCCATCAAATATATTATTTTATCAGTTGAAATTATTAAAGTTTTATGAGTTGGTTGATTATAATATTTTGCTGTGTATTACAAGGCTCATAAAGTAGGATTACCTCCAAACATCCAATTAAATTTTGTTAAGAGAGAAAATTGTTATAATCTTAAATGGATCCCTGATTAGTTGTAACATTAGACTTTATTTAATAAACAT